GGACGCCCCGGCCTGAGGACCCACTCCGAGGGCCAGTCCGGGGCTTTGCTTCAGCTAATTGATTGTGTGTCTCGGATGCTAAACCTGTTGATCTCGTGAGTTTTCTGAGCCAGGACGGTTAATTATTCCAGCGGCCTGACCCCCAACTGTAGAAAGATGCCAGGAAATTTTCGCTTTGGAAAGGGGAATTTTGTATATAATTTTGTGTTGTTGGGAATAGGACTTTTCCCTCTTAAACTGAGAGCAAATGCAATTGTATTTTGCGTTCCCGGAGTCAGGATTCGCATTTTGAATAATTCTTTTAACCACCTCAAAGTTGCAATTACCTGTCAATGAAGTGAGGATCTAATTGGATTCTGGTGGCAACTTATGTATAGTAGCTAACTAGATCTGGAGGATTTCCACTTCCCTTTTCTCCTTCCCTTTTGGATTCTGGGAAACGAGAGGCGGCTTTACAGGGTTATCCCAAGTTCGGATTCGTCAAGATGCAACCATCTCGGTTACTTATTGGGACTTGGAGCCATTTCAGCTTCTGACTCTTCTGGTATCCGAGCGGAATCCGGTCTCTCTGTTTGCTAGGAGCCCAGACTCAGCTGAGGGAGGCAAGACCTTCCTTCCTTGGCCTGGAACTGTCTGAGGGAACCCAGAGCGGTGGGAACCCAGGCAATGTATTTGCATTAGTGTCTTTGGTGTTTTATCTGACAAATGTACCAGTGGTGTTTGAATGGGGAACTGTCTTGAGGGGTCAGGGCAGCAGTGGGATCGATCAGAAGTTAGTCCGGAGGCTCTGTCAAGTCACGGCCATGGCCGGGGGCTCTCTGGGAGCTGAGGCTGCCTTGGGCCCAGAACGGCGGGGATCCAGTTTCCTCTCCATCCTAGTGCCTACCTCTGCCGGCCACCCTCCATCCCCCTCTTTGCACCAGTAATTAGGGTGCTGTCTGGAGAAATGAGCTGTCATAGTCAGCATGATTGAACCAGTGCAGTACTTTCATTTTGCAAAATCAGTAGCCCCACCCCACCACTCCAAAATAACAATAAACTCTAAGAAAATCATAAAAGAAAAGCAACCTATTTTCGTAAGACTTCTTGACTATTGAGTCGTGGGGGATGGGGGAGGGAATAAAAAAAATCCACCACTTTACAGCAATCAGGTTTTACATTATTCATTGATTTACTGGAGGAAATAGCCAATCAGGAGCCATAGATATGAATGCACATCTCACAGTGCTGGCCTTACAGTAAACTATTTGCATCTTTCTAATGGATTAGATATTTACCCAGGGATTCCCATTGTTTGAAAGGCCTGGAAATTCAGTGCCTTTAACATTAAGAAAAATATGACTTTGTTTCGGTCTTAAAATTCTTACAGGGAAGAACTCCCCCTCCTCTTTTGTATGGCAGGTTACAGTGTTCAAATCCCTAATGTTTCTTAAGAGTCCCTCTTTTCTTCTAAGCTAAAAATAAAAGAAGAAAGAAAAAAATTAATTTCCAAACCCCTCCACATTCTGCATATTTTGCATTCCTATTATCATGCATGTCTCCATTTAAATGCAAATTAGCATATTTAACCCTGTGGGTGCTGAAGCACAGGATACATTGTATTAGGGTTTTCTGGACACTCTTGGCATTTTAAGGAATCATGGTAATTGCAATCCTTTAAATGAAGCCACATCTAGGCATGATTTTTTATAGACATATTAAAATTGTGATCATTTGTTTTCTTGACTGTTTTTCAGATGAGACTACAAAGCAGCATAAAATGAATAGACAATCCAACCAACCAAAGGTAATTTTAAAATTTACATTTGATAAAATCAAAGTGATGTACAAGAAAATAGAATATTATTTACTGGGTGGCAGACCTACAGCATATAACATCTCTCCCAGTTCATGCAATAGAAACAATTCCAGAAAAACCTAAGTTTCCATATGTGCAGTTTCACCCCCATAGGTAGCCTATGTATACTATATATCAAGAAGAATGCAAATATAGCCTGTAACTGCTTATAAAAAAGGAATCTGAGGTATAGAAGAAATAACAGGACACTTTTATTAGAAAGTAAGTTAGTCAAGTACCTTGCCTGAACTATTCAAATCGCTATAAATTAAATGGCTTTTTAATATGGAAAATGGTAGTCTTGACTGTATTAGTGGACTGTGGTTTGCATGCATGAGAATCATACAAACTCAATATTAAAAACGGAATTTCAGTGATAGGCCAATTTCTTTATATACTCTGCAGTAGTCTGCATAGGATTCAGAGAAGTGTTCTAAATATTAGTGACAACTTGATGTATTTGCATGTATGGAATAGCATAATTCTGATCTAAATTGTGAAAAAATCATAACTTTTCACTTTTAACTTAAGCAGAGATTGTTTATTCCCAAGAAAACCAGGATGTTTCAAATCATGTTTTAGCCATTTGGAGACCTATAAAAAGATTAGAAAACAAGCATGACAATCACGTCCTAATCTACTGGCCATTAATGGGAATTTATTAGAGAATGAGTAGGCTAGCCATATGAATTCAGTATATCTGTCAATATGCAGATTTCAGAAAGGGTATTCTGTAGCTCAGCTAAATAGCTTTTTGTAAAGCAAAAATAACTGAAATAAAAACATCTAGGTGTTAGTAGTTGCTCATAACAGTGTATGGCAGACATGGCTAGGAATCTTCAGAGCAGCACAATTGTTTCAATTTGTCTCATATCCTAGATAATAATATAGTCCTTGAAATGTATATGATAAAACCTTGGCAGTATTCAGAATACCAAGGTGCTCAGTGTTAAGCTTTGCTATGTATCTTTTATTTCTTCACACCCTGAAAGCTGATGGAGAGGTAAAATATTTAGTTGGTTATCTACGGTTAATGAACAGACTGCCCATAATCGTTATGTTGGCTAAATCCACTTTTTGGTGCTCTCATAATGAATCTACAGTGTATGTGACAGGCAAGAGGCTAGTCCCGGAGTCAGACTGTGTGGCATTGCCAGAGAAGATGCTATTTTAAGACAGTAGTTTCTGTAGCTTCTAATTGTAGAAGCATCTCAAATCTTCAGTGTCTTGGCTTTCATGATAGTTGCTTAGGTTCTAAAAATGCATATAATTGTTAAATGTAGAAATATAGTCACATTAATTTACACAAGTATAGTGGTGATACACATACAGACATGCATGCATCATATCTTTCTACTTTCACCAACCCCCACCCAGACATATATAAAGCAAAAAAGATATTCTAAAAATGTCTGACATTTCTTGGGATTTTGACTTAAGGAATTGAATTCATCTGACTATATGCTTGCTTTTTGTAGTACATGCCAAATCACTAATTATTCTGCTTCTAGGTCTTGGAAAGCAAGGCCAAAATACTCTCAGTATTCCAAGGCAGCAAAGCTCATTAGGGTTTTAGATAATGTCAAAATGGCATGTGCCTCAGTGATGTGTTCAGTTCTTACCCAATAGTTTATGTCATGGCTCATAGTTCAAGAAGGAACTGTTAACTCTATGGGAATGTGTTTCTCTGATTTTGTTTGTAGTTTGCATGTATGTTTTATATATAACCCTATGCAGCCATTTCTGATTGTACTTCTTGGACAAGATTTGATAGGAAAAATAGATGAGTGATTTCTATAGCTTAGTCTTTTCTAAATGATCAGGACAAGAATGCTCACTAAAAAAGAAAATTACAAAAAATCTAGGGAAAAGTTGGCATCATGCTACTAAATTATATATTTAGTTGGTGTAATACTGCTGTTGAATTTTTAATTGGGGCTTTTCTTAGCAATTCTGGTTTTCTTTACTTGTCAGTCTGTTCTATAGGATTTACATATATGTGCTCTGTATGTAATTTGGCAACCATATTCACACTCACGTCTTAAATGAATAAATTACTGAATTAATGAAAGAGTGTATATTAATTTTGAAAGTGTTTTAGTCATTGGGGAAAATAGTCAGCCTATAAAAATGAGAGTATTGTGATAAACTAGTGATGTGTGAAATGAATATGAAGATTTATGACATTCATATGTGGCATATATTTAAAGAATAGAAATACCACCAAACATAACTCATAATTTTGGAAAACAGTCCATAAAATTCATGCATACTGAATATGCATCTTATGTGGACTTTACCTTAGATGTTCTGTTGAGGGGCCTCTGACTATTAGAACTGTACACATCATAGATGCATTGGACACAGATTTCCCATTACAAAGGAGAGAGAAAAAGAAAAGTCATCTTTTAAGTGATCATATTCACAGTTTAAAAAGTCCTAAAAAAAAAGAAATGAAGCTAATTAATTAATAAAACAATATCCCTTTCTAGACAGAAGAAAGGTGGGGGTGAGGAAGGGGAAGGCGGGGGGGGGGTAGAGTTATGTACGCTCTTAACATCCAGGTGTGTATCTGTCTTTTGAACAAGGTAACAATCCTTCTTTATACAATTTCATAAGGAAGACCAGTACATTTTGCCCTTCTGGGTGAAAATTGATGTTTGAAACTACAGACAAAGGCTCAGCATTTTTATTACAGCAGAGTTGCGTACAACATTAGAAACTATTGCTGCAGTATTTACCTGTGCCACATTCTAAGGCACACCCTATATAGAGTCATTTAAAAAAAAAACAAACCAGGATGAAGTCGGCTTGCTTAAGAGCATTCAATTTGAACTTACAGAACAAAATACGCTGCCCTATCGCCACGGTACATAGATACAAAACATGCCTGAGCTGTGAAGCCATTAAAAACACAACACCAGAGCAAATTGTCAATGTAATCACACATCGACTCACTGTGTAATACAGATCTGATTCCCAGCCCCAGAAAGCAAGGCCCTGCTTTAAGCAATACCAAAGTGCCTTCCATCTCTCTGCCCATGCAATCTGCCAGAAGAGAAATGCAGGTAAAGACGTTCCTCAGATCTGAAATGCTTTTATCTGTCCTTAGAGAGAGATTTCTTCCAGTCTTTGGATATTAGAGCGATCTACACTAGCACCGAGGAGGTAAAAGGCCGCGGGTTGCTTTTCCAGGAGCAGGCGGTAGTGCTAACGGAAGAGATGTTGATTGAGAAAATAGGACTGTTGCAATGCTGCCGCTGCTGCCGCCGCCGCTGCCGCTGCTCGGGCAGCAGGCGTGGGGCAGTTGGATGATCACTGATGCATATCAATAACCGTGTACTTGAGATTTCTCATGACATCATCATTACCTTGGTCTCCCGCGGTCTCGAACCTTTGACCCCGTCGGGCTGGTCCACGTTTTGGCGGTGAAAGCCCCTCCAATGATGGCCCTTTTCTCCTTCTTTCAGACCCGGGGCAGCAGCACGCCAGCAAGACGGCATCTTCTCCTCCCCAGCCTAGAAGCCTTGTGAAATCGAGGATCTTCCCCCCAAAACACACACACACAAGATATGTGCAATCAAGCTGCCACCGCTTGGTAAAAAGCTCATGGTGCCTAACCCAAAAGGATCCGGAGCAGATCCTTGAATCAGCTGTCACTTCTTCTATAGAATGGGATGTTTTTTTCCTTCCTCCTTAACCTGCGCTGGAAATTGCCGTTGGCTTTATACATCTCTATAGAGGGAGGCTAAAGAGCCTTGCGTGAGAATGAAGCAATTTACAATGCAAATAGAGGCCTGTGAAGGGATGGATGCTGCTGCTCACTCCTAACCGCTTGCTGCACTTTAATAGCTGGTTTTATTTTCTGATATTAATAGATGAATTGTTGGCTAACGCTGCCGGAGATTACTTGCTGAAAGGAAAAAAAAAAGTTCGGAATAAACTTTGAAAGCAACAGCTCTCATTTGGATGTTTTAGCCGCACACACAGACAGAAACCAGGTCGTCTTTCCGTGCAAGGAGGAATCTTATGCGCGTCAAGTCTCCTGGAGGACTACTCTTCTGCTCTGCCAGAAAGATCCGGATCTGGAGTCTGGCCCGAAGAAGACAGAGGCTGTGAGGGAAGCGAGTTGTTATCTTTGGTTATCTAGCTGTATGAGTGTATTGGTCTTCATAAAGCTAGATAACCGAAAGTAAAAACTCCTTCAAGATCGCCGGGGAGCGTGTGAGAATGAACTCCAACCAAGAGACAGTAAAAACCAGAAAGGTCAGGAATACTTATTGAATCTAACTTTGTTTGGGGTTTTGTTTTTTCCTTATGATTAAAGGTGGGATTAGAGGAAATTGACACACGTATGCCAAAACATAAAGGTGCAGATATTTTGAAAGAGGTTGTTATAGCTGCGAAGGAGAATTGTAGAGTGCTAATGAGTAAAGAGACACAAACTACAGTTTGTCCTACTTAAAGGCGAAAGTTTACATATGGAGTTATTTTCTTTTTCTTAGAAAGCTGTTGTGGGGATGTCTAGTACCTAGTTTGAGAATGATTCCATATACATAGACTGAGGCCGTTCCCTTCTGAAGCCCCTCCCCTGAAAAATTGGAAGATTATGCTTGGAAACTGCATGTATTTGGGTTGTATGTCAAATTATATGAAATCAGACTTTCAGAAAAGTTTATACTGGAAGGTTAATAATTTGTAGCTACTGAGGACATTGAGCTAGCAGGGAAAGTGCAAAAAAAGAAAAAAAAAGCAAAGGCTGATTTTTATTCTTCTATTCAAAATACAAGGACAGATGCTTCTCTGTTCCAAGAGGGTTTCCTTGAGGAAGCTACTGAAGCAGAAAGACATGATGGAGACGAGATCGCCTCCCCTCTTGTCAAAGTGTTAAAAAAATGTTCTATCTTACTCTGCGCCTAGCATTGGAAATGAAAGTGACATTTACGCCACAACCCACGTGTGCGCCTCCTCTCTTTTTGTTTAAGGATGATCAGGTCTATCCAGGAAACAGCTCTGGCATCCCAAACTGAAATAATTAGGACGTATATAGACCTGACAAAAATGGAAAGGGGGTGGGGAATCTGAGGGTCTGTCTTGCCTAATTGATTCCGCTAAACGGAATGCAGGAGATGTGAACGGCAGGACGCTCCGATTCCCACGCTCGGGGGCAAGTGGTAAAGCGGGGCCCGGCAGCCTATGACAGACAGCCCTGTTGGGGGGTGGGGGTATGAAAAAAACATCAAGTGCACAAACCATACTCATCTCCATCGCTTAAGAAAGTAGAGGCATTTCCCACCCACAGCCATCTGCAGCCTCCAACTGGTCTGTAGCTGCTGCATACTGTCTGTTAATTTTATAACCGCTGTTTAATCTGTCCATAATTAAGTTTGGCTTCTTTCTTTGGTTGAGATTTTCAATATTTAAGGAAAGCTAGTAAAAAAAAAAAAGCTTCCCCAAAAGTCTCATTCCTACCTGCCCCTCATATCAAATTCTCAGTGCATACTTTTGGCCTTGTGACCACATTTTTTACTTTTGTTTTGGGTGGGTTATATTTAGAAATACGTATCTCTATAATAACAGGCATTATGATCACCTCTTCAGGCTATTTACCTCTTAACATGGATGGTATATGTAGGAACTTGGCCTAATTATGCCAGCAGACACACACTGGAAGTAAAACTATAAACATCAACCTAAAGAGTGTTGATTCCAGTATGATAAAAGGTTATTCTGGTATAGTCCCAGCTAGATGCCTTCTAAACAGCCATTTTTATGTAATCTAAAAATGACTGTATTTAGGAGAAACTTTGGCACTTTAGAGGTCCCCCGTGATATCTTTTCCACACGTCACCCAGCAAACATTTGTATAGGCATTTAAATATAAATACAAACATGCATTCAAGAATGCCCAAAATGGCTTGTTATCGTCCACGTGGCCTAGATTACAGACAATCCCAAATCCCAAACATACAGTTTTTCTTCAGAAGCATTACACTTTCCTTTGTAGTTTCAACTCCTTGTAAGACTGCAGACTGGAGAAGCCTGTAAAACTACTGTTACATTCAGTTGGAAACTCTGAGAGACTTTACGAACGTAAATTCTCAGTTTGGCTGCTGAACACGTGCCAAAGTTTTACTACTGTAGTGACCGTTGAGAAGACCCTTGTTTATTTACATGTGAAGCACTGTTTGTGCAAACAACCTTTCATTGTTAAGTGCCTGTATTCCTTTCATTTACTTCATGTCCAGGGGTGCTATTTACCTAGAACCATTGTCTACTACAATTAACATTTACATTACAAAGTGTGTGGTTTTCTTTCTCAAGGAGGTTCAATTAAGGCAATAAGACGTTTGCTGGGGGAAACCTATTGTTTACTGCAAGCACTCAATGGAGTCAAATTACTGAAGCTTTTGCCTACATCTTGGTCTTTTATGTAAATGTGTTAAATATAACATTTAAGGAAAATAAACAATATTATAATTATGTGTCTGCCATTGTCATATCAAACTTGCTTTGTATCATACTAATGTTACATGACTTATCGATCAATAAAAATACATTTCAATGTTATTATTTTCATTTTATTTTTTGCTGTTCCACTGCTCTTGCTGCAACATGTCCCAATTTTTCTTTTTTCTATTACACATCAAACTTCTGACATTTTGTTTTATTTGTGTGTGTTGAAGAGAGGTACTGTATCTGAGCATGCGTCTGAAGGGCGTCCGAGGTCATCTCTACAGTGACCTTATAATAAGGTGATATTTCTTTGAAATCTGAAATATTCCAAAGGCGTGTAGATTTAAGTCAAAAGAAGTGTAAATATCAGTTAAGTAGTTCTTTGAAAGCTAGTTGGAACATTGGCAGAAACCGGATCAAGTTTATTTAGCATACCACTGCATTGTAAAACAGTTGGAGTGAAGTTGCAGGTTGCGTGAGTATGCATGTTAACTAGTGGGAACCGAGCACAGTCTTTGTGAAAGGGGAGCAGCAGATTGCTGTGCAAGGCCAATGTTAAAAAGGCAGCTGAATTTAACACCATCTGGAAGAAAAGATCCCTTCACGACTTTCTCACACCGTCAGACAAAACTAGTGTCTCTTGTTCCAAGCCCTTGTCTATGCAACCATACAATACTGAGTCATTATACTTTTGCTGAGAGAAAATTTGAGAACACAATATGGGTAACCAGTGAATGACCAAGTTTCATTGTGCCCGCTTAAGTCGATTGAAATCTACGTCTAGAGCTATGAATGGTAGTATTGTTTTCCTCACCAGGGCTGTACTAAATGTCAGCACAGTGTAAAGAAAAACTTGAAGTCTGCAAATAACTTACCAGATCTCAATTATAATATTTTCCCACACTAGAACTAATATCATTGCGAGGGGCTACATTGCAGAAAATACAAAAAGAAACGAAAGGAAATAGAGAGTTCATTTAGAAGTTATTTTATCCAGACAAACATTTTAATTTTCTGATGGGAACTTCAATTCAGGCTGTAGGCTGGGTTGAGAAGTGGAATTCATTACTGCGAAGTTCAAGTTACAAAAATGCTTCTTGTGCAATTAAAATAGAATAGAACAAACAACAAGTCCCACCTGAACACCCATCTTCTTAAATATAGAGACTCTTCTTGGGGTTTATTGCTTACAGTACTGCTGAGAATTATTGGTATGGATCTAGCTTGAATTGTGCTTTAAATTTTGGCAGACACTGCTCTTTCAAAGTTTGCCACTGTGATTGACATTGCAAAAGAACATCGTAGATGTACATTTCCAAAAATAGACAACATTCTGGCACCTCCCTAGGTGGAATCTGGTGCCCTCAGGAATACATCTCCCTTTATGTTCCATCCCCTCCCCATTTCCTAACTTTTCTGTTCTCAGGGTGTGTGTGAATCAGTTATTATACTTGGGTTTAAGGTTCACACAATCTATTTGACTGTAAACAGTCAGAAAAAGGAAGCAAAACAGTTCAAAAAGAGTAAAAGGAGTTGGTTGTGTATGTTTTATTAGGATGTCTATTTTAAATATAATTGACTTTGCAATTTTGTTATTGTGTCACCAAGTGTCGCATAGTTCTTAACATGTAAGTGCAAAACAATGAGTAATTGCTGTTTTGCTGAATAATACATCTGAGTTGCCAACGTCAAAGGTATTATTTTGTGTATTTCTAAACAGGAACGTTAACTGCAGGTTTTGACATCTAGAATCTTTTCATGAAATACTTAGAAATAGGCCGATAAAATGACATGTGTAAAAGTAAATATAAAGATATAACCAACTTATTTTCCTTGTCCTACTTTATACCAGAAAATTAACAATGAAAAGTCACCCAATAATGGAATTATAGAGGATATAACATAAAAACAGGCATACAGAAAAATCCAAAACAGCAACAGAAATGGAAACTAGATAGAGGTAAAAAAAGATATATAGGAAGATTTCTGCAATATCCTTGCAGGATATGAATGAATATCTTCACCAGTATCAGCCCCCCTAGTGCAGTTATCATTAATGTGCATGGTAATGAGATAAATGCATTATTTACAGTTAAAATGAATTGTTTTCCCCAAGTGGCCTTTCTTTAAGTCTTCTTAAACACTACATTTCTGCCATTAGTGCTCTATATTTATTTTTTAAATTAAAATCATTTTCTTATTTGGAAAAATATGAAATGTTAATTTGATTTTGTGTAGTCTTTGATGAAAATTAAGAAACCACTTAAATAGTAAGAGATAAGGATAAGCACATTTCAAGTTCATAAACGTTCTTTATATTCATAGACTTCGTATAATCAGTTCAAGACAGTTTAGCATTTTGAGAAATTTGACTTTTTTAAAATGGAGAGATGAAGCCAAAGGTTTTATTTTCCAATGTGGCTAGAAAATGTGGGAAGGAAGTGTATAACTATGTATATATCCAGTTTTTTTCTATAGATCTGTACCTCTGGAAATACCACTGTGGTTTAAGAATATTGGTAGACTTTCCCCACTCTGTCTGGATATAACTTAGCTTTTCCCTGATTACAGTAAGACACACCATAGTATGATGTTGCATTTGGATATGTGCTGAGAGTGGAGGTGGTGTCTTGGGCAACAGGAGACAAGGTGTCCTTTAGAATTTAGTGAGTAAAAAGACATCTATAAAACTGGATCAATTGTTTTTAACATTAGTACTTCGAGACAGTCATAACAGGTCCTAGAGTCATAGGGCATATAAGGTAGTTCTTCAGTGTCTTCATATTTTAATGGATGGCTTTGTTATCCTGTTTTTGTGTTCATGTTTCTTAGCGCAAGTTAACTTAGTACAGAAATAGCAGAAACCTCTGTTCTCATCTGCTTTGAGAATCCATGTCACCCCATTTGGGAATTGTTCGATTTTATTGTGGAATTAATTCTAAGGATGGTGAATGAAAAAGAAAAGTATATAGTTATGATTGCTAAGGAATATTTGCCTGCCTTCAATCAGGGTCGCGAGAGTTAGTGCACTTAGAAGGGTGCTGACCATCTTTGAGGTGGGAGCATGTGGCTTTCTGCTTTGCAGCCAACTGCCAGACCACAGGGGGTAGGACTTTAAAAAGTGAAGATAATCGACTTTATTCAGGGAAATATGGAGTTCTGAGCCATATTTGTTCAAAGAGAAGCACATCACTGTGCTTGGCTGTTTGACTGGGTTTTAGTTGAGCTCTGCCACAGCGTAGTCTTGAGATCTAAAAATAGCCAGGCTTAGCTGCCGCCTCGCAAGGG